GCAATCCTAAAAGCTAAATGAAAACTCTATTTTGTAGGGGTTTTTACAACGTGGACGCCATAGTGTTATAAATGGTAGAACTCACTAGAAACACTTAGCTTAAGTAGATATTATTATTTTGTTATGAGATTATGCAAATTTGGTTCAGTTGGTTTTTCATACAAACGGACAATAAATATCAATTATTTTTTAAAAACTCATAACCCAAAGAGCAAAGAACGGGAACAAATTCTAGTCATCACCGGAAAAACCACTGGGTGAATATTAGATGCATGAAACCTGAAACAAAGTATTATGAATGCTCCATCGGAAATATTATTATCATTTTACTTGAGCAAGTGCGTCAGTCGATAAACGCAGTACAGTACAATTTTACCAAACTAATTCTATGGCATTAAATTGGAAATGATAATGCGGAATTGAATGAAAAGGCAGAAAAGATTCTCAACTTTACGCACAAACAAGCAACGTCACAAATTACGTTATTCATTTGGAATTTGGATTAAAGATCTGATTGTTTTTTGTTATGTACCCATTTATTTTATAAAATTAAAGTATCAATATATACTTCGTAAAAGTTGCTCTGTTATATATTTAATCTTATTGATAATATTCGATATTTTAAGATTGCCCAAAAAATTTTTTAATATTTTAAAAAAATTCTTCATTTTAACCTTGACACATTCCAAAAAGAATCAATCACCACAAGTAACCACTGTGCCGTCCACATAGGAAGCAACCCTGCCTCCCTAATTCATTTATATATACATTGGATAAGAGAAGGCCTAGCACAGCCTTTTGTAGGTCGAGAAAGACGGTAGCACAGTCCAGATGGTTAGTACTCATCCCTTGAGTAAAGCCACATTGATGACTGTTTAGTAGATCATTATTTGTAAGACATTTTTTAAATATTTTGTAAATTGATAGGGTGTATTACCAGACTTAAATATCATTCGTATTACATGTCATAGGATCAACAACACGTAAGTGTAAACATTTTTGAAGTAATTTTATTGCTTATACTTTTTTGTTTCATTTTTACAAGACAGATGGGCAACCCTATTTTGGCAGCCATTTTTTCTCCTATTTTGGTAAAATCGTCATTGAAGATATTAGCCACTTCTTTTTTATCAATTGTTAAAATATCATTTTTTTCAGGATATTAAAAAATAGATTTCTTAGACTTCTGAGTTAATCAAGGTTAACTCTTATCTTAAAATATATTCCGGTTGTGCTTGAAATCGCCGTTAACCTCCTTTTTAAAATATATAAAGCAAAGTGAAGTAACATGAATATATCAAATGTAAAAAAAATGTAGGTGCAATTGTTCAGTCTAATGCAACTTAATAGTTATGGCCAAGTTCGTATTCAAATTACATTATTATTAAATTTATCAAAAACATATACCATAGGATAAAACTGATTCTACTATAAATTCTAATAAGTGAACTCTTTGACAAATTATGACGCAGTATATGAAATTTATGGAGTAATTAGCGAATTTTTGCATATAATAGTTCTAAAGCTACCCCTAAATATTTTAACCTTTTGGTGAAATTTATGTAAAGATTGCACTTATAATTCGTGTTATAGCCGGAACAGTCAAAATTATGAATTTTTATGCTTTGGTAGTTTGGAGCAACAGCTGTCGTCATGTGACTTAGTAATTCTTGAGCCTTTGCAAAGGTTTCTTTCCGAGTGATTTCAACGAAAATCAATTCCGCATCATCCGCCTAGCAGACGATACCTTATTTCGGTAAAATAGAAAATATTCGATTCATATAGAATATAAACAAGATTGGCCACAAAACCGTGCCTAGTGGCACACCATACCCCACCGGAAGAGATCGGCTCAGGGTGTCAGGGCGTTAATCAGTTACTTTACCAGCATTGGTTTCTCCGGAAAGATACGGTGCGACACGATGTTTTTCCTGCATTAAAAGATCTGACTATGCTGTCTGCTACCTTGATCATCTTCCGCGCCTACTTTTTTTCTAAATGTGTTTCAATCTAATTTCAACACGCTTTTCCAAGACTTTACCCACGCTATTTGGCCTCTCGAACCTGATTTATATAGATGGCTATATAATCGATTCCTTAAAATATAACAGGTTAACCAAATAGAGTAGCGGCGTAAACATTTATATCCGTATTTTTTAGTGTTTTTTTTTTTAATTTCTATTAATTCTTTTTCTAATATCCAGTCCGGCAAGCGTTCCCCCCACATTACAAAATTACTTATTGAACTCGACTATGTAGTTGGGTGATGTATAGGAAATATTGTCTCTGCCTATAACAGTGGAAATTTCCAGATTATCCGTGATTTCATTGGTGGTGTGTTTAATACTTTTAATAGTTAGAACACACAATATATTATTCCGGATTTGTTTCTAAGATATCTTGATTATTTAGATTTTTTTAATAATAACGTCTGTATTGAAGAAAGCATAAATTTACATAGACGGTTGCCAAAGTTAAAGGTTAATAACGTGCTCTAGAGGAAACTAAAAAATTCTCATTACCTCTGAAGATACGCAAAAAAGTTTCCTGATTTCGTTTTTGTTTATTTCCGGTATAATATTTAAAGAGAGTTAAAAAAATAAAAAATACTTTTTTGTTGCCACTTTTTGAGCTCTGCAAGCGAGTTATTCTTTATTAAAAAATGGGACGATGTGCAACACAAAATGGTTCTACACTGCTTAAATCACAAAAAATAAAGATGTACTGATAGTTTAAAAAGAACTTACCACAAAATAGAAACTATAAAGAATGTTCGAAATTTCTTAACATATCAGTTATAATGTTTTAAAAGAACTAGTCTTCTCAGTTGACCCTTAGTCTTGAAAACCCGCCGCTACCATATTTTTGGCAATATCCCCATTTAAAAAAATCCAGTGGAGTGATGTCCTGCGAACGAGGGGGGCACGAAAACAGTAGTTTGAAACGTGTTCTGTCGCAAAAAAAAAATATGTAGATACAATTTCTGGTGGTAGGTTTTATTAAACTTTGTGGAAAGAAATCATGATTACGGATCCGTTAATTTCCCGGATCGCAGAACAAAAAGGCCTTAATTAGAAACACAGGAATCTTCTTTATAATACAGTTTCCTTCTGTGTACCCAATGGCTTTGGATATTGTTAATCGAATAGAAAATGTCCTCGATTAATTGGAAAATTAATTGCTTGGGACAAATGGAAAGAAAATTATGCAAAGTGAAAAAGTCTAACCTAAACCGATACCTAATCCAATCGAAAGGGTAAAACCCTGAGTTGCGCCCAGATGGCCGCCTTAAAACAACGTAAACTTTAGAAGCACTAGTTTCAGAAGTTACTCAAGAAGGTGTGGAATTATATATATAAAATAATAATTCTAATGGATACAAACAAATGCGGAAAAAGCACATAAGTTCTTATAACCTACACCGAGCACCCTCTCGGATTATAAAGTGCCCAGGGTTAACATGTATTCTGTTTTAACGCGGGTGTGCTTCTAAACCAACCAGAATGATTTAGTTGAAGTTACATTCCGTCGATAGGATATAGTGTGTTGAACTTCAGACACAGGCAAATTTTTAACTAGAGCCGTCATTTCACGTCATTTTGTCAAATTTCCTTAGACTAAAATTGTGTTTTGAATCAGCGCTATGATTAACGATACTTTATCTGTAGTATTTTAAATAAAATCTGTCTAAAAATACCTCTATTATGTTAGAAAAATATTCCTTTTTGTATTCCCTAGTCTAGATTTCCCAGTTATGCACTAAAAAAGTAGAGTACGTCACAGGTTAATAAAATTATTCACATACCCGTGACTAAAGTGCTATTTATCAAATTTGTAGCATAATATCAAATACCAAATCAACATAAGGCTTGATATAATAGATTCATTGACAATGTATTGTTATTATTAAAAGAAGTCCAAAAATGTAAACGTAGTTTAATTTTTAACATCGGGAAACTCAATTTTTTCTTATCATGCATCAAAGAAATTTTTCGAATATCTCATGAACTTCTTAAGGCAGAAAATTGATACGGAATACGGTCTCGAAATAAATTTTTGTAGGGGGTACTTCACGGTTAACTAAAAAAAAAATTCAAAATTAGGTTTTTTAATATGTTATTTCATATTTTTTTCGATAAACTGTTTTAATTACTGCACAATAATATTTCCATTGCTCTTATAATAAGTTTTTTTCGATCTTTGCTTTTTGTAATTAAGCGACTCAAAAGTAAGTGGCGTTTCTAAACCAAAAATGTTAACAAATTCGTGCTTGAAAAGAAAAACATGCAGTTGGAGTCAAACTTGTCGAGTCGACTAGAAAGGTCCAACTTTTATTTTTCATTTCACGTTAAATTTAAAAACAACAAACAACAAGTGTATTAAAACGACCTACTTAAGCAATAAAAACATTTTTTTTCCATGTTACATTCACTCGTACATTTTTTTCTTTAAAAAATACACTTTTTTATTTTAACGCCTTTTTTTTCAAAAATTGATGAAAAGTATAGTGCTTGTTTAGTAAAAGAGGTTCTTTATTTCTGTATATTTATAAATCTTGATTAATTTTTTCAATATGAATTAGTTTGTTTTAAATTTTCAGGGTGTTTATATCATCGCAAAGATTTTGAAGAAAACACCATTTAGAAAAATTTTAAATTTTTGCATTTTAGCATTTTATAATATACCAATAATTAAAAAAGTACTTAGAAAATCAGCCCCCAGATATATGACAAAGGCTCTCTCCCCTCTCTTCCTAAAATTGAAAATATGTCAGAAATGATTAGACTTTGGTTTAGGATATTATATAAAAAGGTCCGAAAAAAATACCTTAATACAAGATATAATATAATAAGAAAGTTACTTACTTACTTTCCACCAAAATGCAAACACCCCGTTTTATATAACCATCTAATATTTTAAATTTAAAAATTTGAAAAAATGCAAAAAACTTTCTTTACGTTTTTCCTGCACTGCACACAAATTTGTTTTTTTTTTTTCAGCTATGACGGATGGGCCCAAATTCGTCGAACCAATACCTAACGTTACTGTCGCGTTGGGCAGAGATGCCAGTTTGCCATGTGTTGTGGAAAACTTGGGAACTTACAAGGTGAGTGTCACGTCGAACTTAGAATTTTGCAATATCAAATTTATTCATTATGTAAAAAGGCCAAATTTTTTACTCCGTTCGAATTCATAATTAGTCCCTGCGTTAGTCAGGAATGTTGCTAGATCGATGCGCGGAAGTAAAAGAGTCCCATAAGGCCTTTCATGATATTATGTCTAAAAGACAGAAGACGAAAAGCAAACCTTTCATTATGCATTGTTTAGTGTTAAAGAGTAAAGAACGAGTCATATCTGGATAACACAGCTTGGCCTCCGATCCAATGTGTATAAGACCAAACGCTGCAGTTGCTTGGTAACGAAAATTCTTTTCGCCTTTGCATTAGTGGACCTTTTTTGTAGCACACTGACTGGATATATCAGATCGTAAACTTGGAATTCCTCTGCACCTTCTCTAACTGTGCACTTTCTTTTTTAATCGGTTTAGGAACTGAGTCATCGTCTTGCATACCAGATCGATTTACTATTTTATTCATATATGACAGTACTTACTTATAATTTCAGACCATTTTGTTTCAACACCTTGGTGCCTCACGAAATGAGATATTTGGACTACCGCTGTCTTTACCATTTACTACTACTATTTTAAACACTGGGTGTCAACTCGATCCCGTACGAACTCGAGTGGTAACAAAAGAGCTGCCATTGGATAGGACAAAATTGCACCATTTTCAAGTTTATTAGTGTTATCATTATTATCATTATGCATGATTACTGGGTGGATTGAGAAGCTCAGTAATCGTGTTGCTGAAAGTTCTTGAATAGACCTCATTGACCTCTAATTTCGATACAAATTTCAATCTTTTCGGAAAAACGTAGATATTTTTAAAAAATTAAAAATCTAAAATTTATGAGGAAAAACACGATAAAAATGAATGTGCGAATAGACCACATTGGTGTGCATTTTCTATAAAAATTTGAACTTTCTCGGATCAATATAAGTTGAGAAATAACCTTAAAATCTCATTTTAAATGGCAAAAAAAGTGTTAAAAATCCACGATCAATATTGAACGTTTTATATATTATTTATTAATAATTTTGAGAAATTGAAACTTATAAGTTAAAGGCTTTGGTCCTTCCTCTATTCAATGATAATGTCTTTTTTTAAACGCTTAAAGTCCTTACTAACCTTGTATATCAAAAAATGGTTCTTATTCGAAAACACAATCGCAATAATGTTCAAGTTAAACGCTATCGCGTTTCCCGCATAACGTGAAACGTTGCGATTTCAATTTGCTTATCGTATCGATCCAAACAAAAAGCTAATTAACACAGAAGTGCCCGGAATTATCTTTCATAATATAAAATTATTTTAATTACATCGCAGCTCATTGTATTGGAAACAATAACGATAGTTATTGTGATATAGATATGAATTTTAAAGCACAAAGGGCCATTGTTTGTCCGTAATTGATATACACGCCGGCGTAACACGTTGGGATTCTGGGTTCGAAGCATCAAATATATATGCGTGGTTCTGAAAACGGAAGCGGAAAAAAATGAACGCCGCCTGCTATGTTCTGTTGGGCAAAAACCAAAAAAATACATTGCGATTAAATCATTAAATTATTTTTATACTCCAGGTAGATTTTAGGCAAATTTTTTATCAGCATAATAGCTATTTGTTACAAGAAAACAATAAACTATAGATGATAGAAAGGATAGAATTGCGAGATAGAAAAAAATATAATATCTAAATTGATAATGAAATCAACTTTATTTTTTACCAATAAGAACTATTTCCTTTCATAGCATCCAATAGGTGGTATTTGTCTTTTCGTATTTTGCAATCTTAACTAACCGATCATTTGTGTGTATGGTCTCTCCATTTCCTTCTTGCCACTCTTACTATTTAGTCACTCATAGTTCCCTCATGTCTGCACTTCTCCTACGGCCATATCCTGTTATCGATAGTAGCTTACGCAAGTTTTGGTTAGTGGTGGTATTAATGGTGCCCTTGCTCTTATGACTTTTACTTCGTCCTTTACATTTTTATTGCATGCTAGTTTCGAGAAATAAATTAAATCGAATTTTTCGAAAGTATACGCTCTTGGCAACGAAATTCATAACTCGGCAACGGGAGGTCCTGACGTACCGCCATTGGTAAACAAAAAAAGATAGAGCTTAGTCCCCTAACGGAACCTATTGAAACTGGGGGGGCTGGGGGCCCGGGAAGTATTTTTAAAAATTTAAAAACCGCATTTGCAGGGTATCGAGAAAAAAATCATTTCTCCAAAACGGTACATATGATGGAAAACATTCTTGAACCGGAAGGCGCACGAGATCCTGCTTAAAATCATTATAGTTATTAATATATTATTATTTATACAAATTTTTGTATTTACCAAAGTTTGCCGTGTCTTTGAAGATCGACGAGATGTGAAAGACACTTTATACAGGGTGCGTGCACAACAAAATTGCGAAAGTTCCATAGTGGTCCGCAGGAGCACGATAGAAAAACAAGTAAACCTGAAGCCACTTATTTTTGAGAATACAAAACTGCTTCGCGCTACGCGCTACGAACTTGCCCCGCCCAGCGACGATTTTTCGAAAGCAATCTTGTTACTTTCGAAAAATCGATGAAATCGAATTTTTTTAAAGTATACGTGCTTGGCAACGAAACGCATATCTCGGCAACGGGAACCCCATCGGTACACAAATGATCAGCGTCTGTCTGTTCTCCGTTCTCTGTCGACGCTTCATAAAAACTTAAGCCAGTGCGCTGAGATTTTTCTCCGTTTAAACTGTCCACATTAAAAACCACATTTGCAGGGTCTCGAAAAAAAATAATTTCTCAAAAACGGTTTGTACGATCGAAAAAATTCTTGAAACTAATGACGCGCAAGATCCGGACAAAAAATCTTTACTCTTGATGACTTTAAAAATGTACAGGGTGCATCGGTAATTTGCAAAAACTGAAAATTGGGCTCTCTTTGTAGTAATAATTAACCATAACTAGAAGGCGGTGATTCCGTTGTTAGTTTTTTTTTGCTTGGCTATCACAACTAAAACTCTTGTATTTAAAGTTTTTCCACATTGTACATGGCGCTCGGGATATTCGGCGCTATAGGCAAAAACGTCATTAGTGACTTAAATATGTAGCTATCCACAAATTTGGCAAGGAAGTGCCCACATCTGAACAGTAGAACTTGAGCGAAATCCAGTATTGCCAAATATTTTGTAAAAATTTTTGAAAATTTTTCTTCGATTAATTTTTTTTCCAGAAAAACATGATTTTCTTAAAAACTATTTAACTGATGGACAAAAACCGTGAAACGCGAGATATCCGGGGCTATAACTTTCATTTCAGGAATTTTTTCGATGATATACAGCATTTTACAATTATGAACAACAATCTAAAATTGTACTTTTCAGGAATAAATAATTAACCGCAAATCAAAATTCGTAAAAAATATGTCTAATTGGTTTAAATTGTGTTATAGACCACATCGAGACCTACAATTTTTGTATTTACAGTTTTTGTCTATCACATACGCTCTTCGAGATATTTCAAAAAATCCAAATTCTGGTCCCACTTTCTGGCCCCCAATTTAGACACGATGACGCCATTTACTATTACGTCGTATTGCATTGTTTCAGAAAACAGGTATTTTCTTGATAACCATTTACTCTTCTGGAAAAATTCATGTACCAGGAAACCTCCATTTCGAACATTGTTTGAATTATATACAGAGTGTGCCGTTTATGGGTAAAGAATCTAAAAGATCTTAAAAATTTCCTTTATTCGGGTAAATTATTGGCAATAAATGAAAAACTGTTAGAGATCCGATAATTTGATTTGAAAAGACTCGTAAACTGGGTTCGACGAGATGTGAAAAAAATCGATTTTGCGAAAGTTCCATAGTGGTCCACAGAAGCACGATAGAAAAACAATGTTTCCCTCTAGGGCACAAAGCCTTAAAAATACAAAGCTGCGTAGTGACTTTCTAGACTGCGTAGCGCGAAGTACAGAGCAGACGATTTGCACTGCCACGATTTTCGATGAAATCGAATTTTTCGAAAGTATATGCGCTAATATAAAAATTTTATATCTCGGTAACGGTTGGTCCTATGGGATCGCCGTTGGTGCAGAAATGATCATCATCATCATCATCATCCTCAGCTATCCATCCATCGTCGGACGTACGCCTCCCCTAAGCATTGCCACTCCTTTCTATCCTGCGCATGCCACATCCAATTGTCTCCCACCAGTCTCTTTATATCATCTGTCCACCTAGTCTGGGGGCGTCCTCTGCTCCTCTTACTGCTCCATGGTCTCCACTCCATCACTCTGCGTGTCCAACGATCATCTTTGCTCCTGGCTATATGTCCTGCCCAGCTCCATCGCAGTCTACATAATCTCTCTATGACATCTGTCACTTTTGATCTTTCCCGGATTATATTATTGTTTATTCGGTCCCGGAGGGTTACACCTATCATCCTCCTTTCCATAGCTCGTTGTGTTGTTTGTAGCTTGCAAATGATTTCTTTATTAATTGCCCATGTTTCTGTACCGTATGTTAGTGAGATGATCACCGTCAAAAAAAAATTTATTCCTCGACTTCCTGAGTCGGTTGTTTATAATTACTGACAACGTTTCGCCAATCATCCACTTGGTTTCTTCAGAGCTTACTAAAACTGCCTGCTTATATATTGTTCGAGGGGGGCGGAGCTAAAGGAGGGCCTTGAGCATTGTCTCGGATGACTGATTCCCATAATGGGAAAGAACGTTAGTCGCGGTTAAAATTGTTTGGTTGACATGGAAACTCGGATTTTTCTTTGATAGAAGAATTGATAACATTCAAGAATTTTAGTTTCATCGAATAAATTTTGTTATCCGGTTTTGTGATTGTGTTTAGCAACTACTGATGAGATTATTTGCACTCTTAACGCTCTTCCATGTTCTTTGAGCCTAGTTCATATTTTTCGTCCTGTCTCTCCAATATATTCTTTGCCGTATATGTATGGAATGCTGAAAACACCAG